GGCTGCGTTAAACGGAGTTGGCGGGGTGTGAGCAGTCATCATGATGGCTGATGCAGTTTAGTCACTGTGGTTGTAGCCTGTTGATGCCTGCTGGTGGTCCCTTCCTCCATTGGGACTGAGATCTAATTTCGCTCTTTTTGTTTACTGCTCTTCCGATTCCACCTTCGTTGCCAGTGTTGAATCGGGTGATGGAAGAGACAGGACACCGTTCAAACAGAAACAACAGCTCTTTATTAGTAGATCGGTGCAACCCAGCAGCCGGCTCGTCCGACAGCTTGCTCATTTATAGGGAGCTGTCAGACGGGTCAGCCAATGAGGTTTGAGTATTTTCCTGCCGGTTTTGGCGGACCTGAGTGAAGCTTCTGCTCACTCCTATTCAATATGCAATATAATAAGCACTTGACTGTAATCTCTCAGAATGGTATATTATAATATATTTCACATTCCTGTAAACTCTCAGACTGGAGAGATATTAACGTTCTGATTATTTATTTATTTATTTATTTTATTTTATTTCTATACCGCCCTACTCCCGAAGGACTCAGGGCGGTGCACAGTCAAACAATAAAATATACATACAAAATTTAAAAAGTAGAATTAAAATCAAATTAAATAGTTTTGGCCCAGACAAATTAAAACCCCAATCAATTTAAAACCAATTTTAAAATTTGAATATATAAAATACTAAAAGATATTAAAAATTAAAAATATTTTATAAAAGAGGGAGAAAATTAGGCCAGGCCCGCCTGGTGAAATAATAAGGTCTTTAGAGCGCGGCAGAAGGTGCGCAGATCTGGGATCCTCCGTATCTCAGGGAGGAGCTAGTTCCAGATAGTAGGTGCCCCCACAGAGAAGGCTCTCCCCCTGGGGGCCGCCAGTCAGCATTGTTTGGCCGATGGCACCCGGAGGAGTCCCTCTCTATGGGAGCGTACCAGCCAGTGGGAGGCTATTGGTGGTAGTAGGCGGTCCCGCAAGTACCCAGGTCCTGAGCCATGGAGCGCTTTAAAGGTGGTAACCAAAACCTTGAAGCACACCCGGAAGACCACTGGGAGCCAGTGCAGCTCGCGCAGGAGGGGTGTTACATGGGAACGCCATGTCGCTCCCATTACCACCCGCGCGGCCGCACTCTGCGCCAGTTGGAGCCTCCGGGTGCTCCTCAAGGGGAGCCCCATGTAGAGAGAGTTACAATAGTCCAGGCGGGAGGTGACGAGGGAATGAGTGACCGTGCGTAAGGAGTCCCGATCCAGAAAGGGACGCAACTGGCGGATCAGGTGAACCTGATGAAAATCCTCCCGGTCATGGCCGTCAAGTGCTCTTCTAAAGATAGCCGTGAATCCAGGAGGACGCCCAAGTTGCATGCCTTCTCCGTGGGGGCCAATGATTCACCCCAATAGTCAGTGATGGCACCAACTGACTATATCGGGACATTATGTCTTTCCCTGATGTAACATCTGAAGAGCCCCAATTAAAGATGAACCTGGTTATACAGTGCCTCCTGGTGGTCAATATAATGAAAACACTGACTGTAGAGAAGCATGGAGTTACCATGTAAAGGAAACAGGAACAGACATATTTTTTTCCTTCCTAGATACTAAAATACTTTCTTGTTTGATAAAGGCGTGTGTGTGTGTGTGTGTGTGTGTGTGTGTGTGTTTTGTACTTGAATTTCCTAGAAAATGTGCTTTCTTCTCACACATAAAAATAAATTCAGATGTTATTTGGACAAAAGCAATGGTTTTTTTTTCCTTTGTCCCTTTTAACTAAGCATCAATAGGTTAAGAAACAAAATTTGCAAGCCTGGGGAAACGGTATATATAGATTTAACAGCAACTCCAGTCTTGGGCACCAACAAGCTATAATTACAATTTAATATTATGTGTAGCGGAGTGATCTGCATGCTGCTTGAAAAATTGGAGCCTTTTTCAACACTTCTGAACCTTCTGCATCCTCGATTGGACTCCAACTTGCTCCACACAATGTCTTCCAACTGAGTCAAACGTGATACAAATAAGAACAATAAGATCAGCAACAATCTCGCTTTAAACACCACAAACAAAGGGGCTAATTGAAGTACATCGAGCCCCAATGCAGTCTGCACCACTGGTTAGCCTGGAGAAACAGGGAAGAGAATGGGTGCCTCAGACTTTGCCAAAGGACCTTTTTCCTTGTGAATATGTGATAGCCTTTGCCCCACGGATGAACTGCAGATGCAGTTTAATCATTTATTTATAATAATATCCATTGAAATAAAAATGACAAAATGAGAGTTCAAAACAGTGAAATAGATGATATTAAATTAAGTTATTTATATAGTTTAGTCTCCCTCCCTCCCTCCCTCCCTCCCTAAAAAGATGCTCATTAATGGAATAGAGCAGGGCTGCTTAGTATTAGTTCCAAAAGTAGTTGTGGGAAGTGGGAAGAGGAATCAGAATCAGAACAGGGGAAGTAGTAGCAAGAGTATAGAAAAAAGAAGAAGAGAGGGAATGACTATGATTCCACTCAGGGTTGCTTTAGCTGTGCCCACTTTGGAAGTCAAAAGATTAGCCCTGGCAGAATTTATTCCTGAATATAGAAAAGGGTTGGTATCCAAGTATAATGAAAACTTGATTTACAACACCTCCGTGTAATAGACTTCCCATTCAATGGACCAGTTTGGCTGTGATTTATGTCATGCATGTATTGATGTCATTATGCTAATGTTAGAGTTTGTATTGCTTATGGATGATGTCATTATGCAAAGAACATGATGGAGATGCTATCATTTCCTCAATGACATTGCTACATGATTAATAAAAACTTCTGTTGTTTGCTTAATGATATTGTCATACAAGTGACAAAAGCTATGCAAGTAGCATCATTTGCTTCCTGATGCCTAAATGTCATGATGTTCAATATAAAATTGTGCAGTGACCTAATCTTTGCATTTTTCAGATTTTAGCTAATAATGGAACCAGGGGTGGGTTCTAAATTTTTTTACTACCGGTTCTGTGGGCATGGCTTATTTTGTGGGCATGGCTTGATGGTCATGTGACAATTCTTTAGGATTTAGCAGAGGTACTGGTCTACCAGGCTTTTAACTGCTTGCAGAGCTGTACCGGTCTACGCATTTGTTTATGGAGGCACTGGTCTACCCATTTATTTTTGCAGGCACCAGTCTACTCATTTGTTTTTGCAGGCACTGGTCTACTCATTTGTTTTTGCAGGCACTGGTCTACTCATTTGTTTTGGTCTACCCATTTATTTTTGCAGGCACCAGTCTACTCATTTGTTTTTGGAGGCACCGGTCAACCACCACCCTGCCTTTTAACACTGATCAGCTGTAGGGTGGCCCTTTGAAGCCCCGCAGCAAGGGTTTAAACATTTTTTTTCCTTCTAACCGATCAGCTGGGACTCAGAAGGCAGCAATAGATTGGGGATGGGGCCAAATAAAAGGTAAGAATAATGCGGGGGAGGGAGGGGGCGGGGGGCAGAACCAGTTCGGTGACATCATATCGTCACCGCTACCAGCTCGGCCGAATCCGGCCGAACCGGGAGGAACCCACCACTGAATGGAACCCCCTCCCACTTTGAATGAAGTTTCACAGCCTGTATGTTACAATGTGATCTGTAGGCCCATGTACAGATTGCTGATGATATGGCGTTACAGGCAGTCCTTGACTTATGGCCACAATTGAGTCTAAAATTTCCATTGCTAAGTGAGACATTAGTTAAGTGAATTTTGCCCCAATTTACAACTTTTCTTGCCACAGCTGTTAAATGAATCATTGCAATTGTTAAGTGACTCACATGGTTGTTAAGTGAATCTGGCTTCCCCATTGACTTTGCTTGACAGAAGGTTGCAAAAGGTGACAAGCAAATTCAAACACGTAGCATCATGAAGGAAATGATGCTACTTGCATAATTTTTGTCACTTGTATGACAATATCACGTTTTATCACATGTATGACAATATCCCAGAACACTGCAACAATTATAAATATGAATCAGTTGGGAAGTGTCTGAATTTTTGATCATGTGATGATGGGGATGCTGCAATGGTCATGGGTGAAAATGGTCATAAGTCATTTTTTTTCAGTGCCATTGTACCTTTGAACGGTCACTAAATGAATTGTTGTACAGGACTACCTGTATTAGTTTAACATTGGGGGGGGGAGAGCATGCAGCATTTCCAGGTAAAGACTTCCAGATGTTAGCCTCAATTCTAGGTGACCCCAGTGCTTAGTGGCCTAATTCTTCCAGGTTGCAACAGTATAGAACGGTGATGGTGAACCTATGGCACGCGTGCCACAGGCTGCACGCAGAGCCATGTCGCCTGGCACGCCAGCTCAGCTCTGGCCAGCTGATTTTCGGGTCTTCTGGGCCCACCAGAAGTAGGGAAACAGGCTGTTTCCTGTCTCCGGAGGGCTTCCAAGGGAGTGGGGAAAGCTGTTTTCGCCCTCCCCAGATGCATAGAGAGGATCTGGAGCCAGGTGAGAAAGTAAAATGGGCCTACAGGGCCATCGCGTGCCAGGAGCAGGGGGGAGGGGGGTCGTGCAGGCATGCACAAGGCGGGGTGTATAGAATTATGGGTGTGGGCACCTGCGAACCCCCCTCCTGTCCCTCCTTCCTGGCACGCGATGGCAAAAAGTTAGCCATCACTGGTATAGAAAGTTGTTTGCTCATTGTCTGCTTCCTGGATGTTGTTTCAATTTTTCAGCCTCACTTGCAGTCTTCATATTCCTTTCCAAAAACTAATTAGATATGACACTATATCAGGCAAGCCTGATATAGCTGGAAGGTCCTGTGTGATGTTCTAGAAAGATCTTCTAGCCAAGATCAAAATTACTGAACAGATGGATTGGTGATTATATGAAAACACTGATCAGGAAGAATAATGAATATTATTAATTATAGAAAATGTTAATTGAATTATTGATCGGTAAGCAACATTCTTTATAGTGATAATAGAACAACGAACCTATATTTCAAAGGCAGAATTTAGGAAGGCAGGTGGTATTGCTTCTGGTCTCAGGTTTCTGGAAAAGATGTATTCTACTGAATCTTGTTTTAACTAAGTAAAGGGAAGAAAAAAGCTACCATATATATTTTAACATCTAGCATGCAACATATGCAAAGAAAGGGGCAAGGTTTTAATCTCACAATTGTAAGCGGCATTTTTTGACTCCCCCTGCTCCAATGCAGACATGCCTGTTAACATGTAAATGGTACCATTTTTGTTGTTGTTGTTCTAGGCATTATATTTGTGCATTGATCCAGATGGAATACCGATGGCTTGGGAGTCTGGCTTCTAGTCAGTCAGTTCAGCTTCATAGTTGGAGTAGCTGGAATGGAGATTGCCCAAACTTTTGATACTAGCAGACAATTTTCCCATTCACTGGAACATTTCTGAATACAGTAGGTAGAATGGAAACTTCAACCTTTAGTTCCCCTAAACAGGCTGCTTTAAGTAAATGATGTGTTCCTGCAGTGCCCCCTTGTGACCATTTGTGTTATGATTTTTAACTGCCAGAAACACTTGTGTAAGCAATCGAAGTGATAACCAGTTTCACAATCTATAGCTGAAACTACTATGAGACTTCATTATAATTATTAGTAAACTCTTGGCCTATTTGAAAGAATGTTTAAAAACTTAAGAAGCCCTGGCTTAAACCCATATATCATTGATGCATTTTTGTCTGCCCATCTTTTGTTTTATATATAATAGTTTAGAGAAAATTATCAATTAAAGCAAGTGGACAAATTAACTACAACCTGAAATATAATCTGACCAATAATTGTTAATAAATTTCTCCCTTCTTTCTTCTACAGTTCTGTGCATTAGATGAACTGAAGGTAAATAAGACCACAAGTTGGCTGCAAGCAACCCGCATTTGGCTTCTATTAGAAAAACAAAATATATAATTCAAAACACTCATTATTTGCGGCATACTTCAGGGCAGCTATCCAGCCCAAATTATTATATTAAACAAAATAGCAATGATGTGAATAGATGAAATAGCTCTTTAATCATTTGAGTCTAATGGACTGGCCACTGAGCTAACTATTTTTATCTGTACAAATGTTTGATGATATGGATTCTAGAAGGATCAGTCTTTGTGAATTGCAGCAACTGAGTTTTAGGTAGGGTTAATTTTCCTCCTGGGAAACTGTTCTCTAATTGTGTGTTTTTTAAAACAATAAAAATGTGACATGAAGCTAATAGCCAAACAATTATCATCTGCCATACTCATTCATCTTCTGTATTAAAGTGTTGTTATAGAATTATTAGTAGATTCCTTATCACTGTATAAAGGTGCTTGGGGATGTATCCTGCAGTAATGGCTTTGGACCGGGGTGAAATCCATCAGGTTCTGACAGGTTCTGGAGAACTGGTAGCGGAAATTTTGAGCAGTTTGGAGAACCGGCAAATGCCACCTCTGGCTGGCTCCAGAGTGGGGTGGGAATGGAGGTTTTGCAATATCCTTTCCCCAGGAGTGGGGAGGGAATGGGGATTTTGCAGTATCCTTCCCCTGCCACGCCCACCAAGCCACGCCCACAGAACTGGTAGTAAAAAAAATTGAATTTCACTACTGCTTTGGACAGCAAACTCCAGGGGAAAATGCCACACCTGAGATGCATTTAGACTCGTAGCTGCTCCCTACCATGTCAACTCCTTTTGTGTTGTAAGGAACTGAAATCCTGAAACATCATGAAGACCAGGTCACATCCAGAATGTACCTCACCCCTCACGGAATTCCATCCAAAGGAGTCCATACTGCTAAATCTAGATAACAGCTTACAAAATGATTGAATTTTTGCAGGGCAAGAACTGTTCCAGGACCAAATAGTTTTTCTGTTAACTAATCATTTTAGCCTGCACAAATGGCTTGAATGATCATATAGTTAAGGGTTGCACTTTCTGTTTTATCATTATTGTTTTTATTATCAATAGTTTTCATTTTGTTTCACTGGTGGTTTTATTATTTTTTTTAACTTTTATTTATTTATTTCATTTCCCACATTAATAACCATTACCCAACATCAAAACTACGATTCCTAAAAAGCAGATTGAACTGTATTGTAGCCTCAGGGCTGATTGAAGTCATATTGGTGCAGTGAATGTCTCCTTCTCTGCCCTCAGCCCAAGAGTGCAGGACCAAAGAGCCATCAAATTGTTTTGGTATCTGAAGCCAAACATGCCACAAGCATTTCTCACCTTCTCAGGCAGCAACAATTGACTCAAAAACTGACAACATAATTATATAACCAACCACTTTCTGCCTTTTCATTAGGTTATGCGCCTCAGGTTACTGCCTTATTTTGCGTAATGGGAATGGTGCTGAGTAACCTTACATTTCTAAAGAGATTAACAGTTCATACCCTCAACTGTCTGGTTTCTGGCTTGTCCTTGCCATTGGTTTAGCTGCAGTTGGCTGGAGATGGCTAGGCAGGTCCTCTCTCTCCAATCGTTTGGCCATCAGGATCTTGAAGCATCCTCAACTGCTTTTTCAGAATGCTTAAAAGGAATATATCATGGAGACATATTTTAAAGGGGCTTCTTGCATTCTTGATGATAGGTTTTCACATACTGGTATTCTTCCCAATGGCCATTTGCTTCCTTTCACTTCATTATTTAACATCTCTATTCAATGTTTAAGAGAAACTCACCTGGAAACTCATGGTATAGTAGTCTGCTCCATCTTTCCTTTCTATCTAGGACCAGAGAACATATCACTATCCCCAAACGTTGCTTGAAATCAGTGCAGACAAATCAAAACAATAATTTAGAAAGCAGAAATAGGTTCATATGAGAAATGGGTTTTCATATCACAACTGAGCTTTAATATGATTTGTTTGGGTTTAGAACTCATATAATTTAGGGTTTATCATTGGGTGAACTAGGTTACAGTGGTATGTTGAACCTACCACAGTAAAGTATGACTCTAAGTGCCTTTTGGTTAGTAAAAGTTTAACTCAAAATAAAGGTTCTCCTTGTTTAGCTTACAATATTTCCCAATTATGAGCAAAAGTCATAAAAACAACAGTATTAAATAATCATAAAAAAAGCTGTCTTGACAATCCTTGCCCTGACAATTAATACAGGATTTAGAGCACAGCCAAAACTATTTTTGCTCTGGTTAAATTCTTGAGCCCCACACCACAAATCTGATTACTTTTTGACTATAGTAAGAAGCTGCCTCTGAAAAATGTCAGAAAAGTCGCAAACAAGAATCAGAATAAATAATCTGAACAGTGATTCTTCCCATAAATCACTCAAATTTTTGTGGCTATCTAGATTATTGTACTATATTTTGTGTGACATTACCCATGAAAAGTGACCAAAAACTACAGAATATGCAAACGGCTGTAGACCATTATGTTGTTACAGATTATGTGACCAGAATGTTGAGCCCTTGGCATCTAGTTCACTTCCAAGCACAATTTAAATTTTTAAAAGTTATGCTTTAATTTACAGAGCTGGGGAAAAGTACAAAAAGAGAAAAAGAGAAAAGAAAGAGAGCTGCATCTCTGCAGATATTTTCAAGGCAAAAAGCATGGTGGTCAAAAGCAATTATTATGCTTTCCATAGACTGGCCTCTCACATGCTTGATAATCAAGCTTCTAAAAACAAGTCATTTTTAAAAAGGTTCTCTCCTCCAGAACATAATGCCTAAGCAGGAGAAAAATGGGAAATCAGTGCCCTTAGATAGCTAATATCTTCTTAGCTTTCTGGGATGAACATCAACACCATACTTTTTGAAAGCAATAGAAAGCAATTAGCAACTACTACAGGTCTTCCTCAGAAGCCATGATATCTCTTAGTGCCTTACCATTTAACAGCCTATTTTCTGCATTCTACACCAATTTAAGGACCGAAAGATGCATGCAAATATACTATTGCAAGTCAGAGCAAGATGCAATCATTTTTATTCTGTATTTTTGTACTTTCTGTTTTAATGTTTTATTTTGTTCCAATGGAATATTTCTTTAAAGTCAGGTTACAACCAAGGTTCGGGAATGATTACAACAGGAACGTTAGTTGTAATGGTACAAATATTCTCCTTGCCACAGCCACCACATTTAATTCCTAACTAGGCTTTCCCTGTTACCCTTTCGAAAGACCATTCTGTGCCATGTTGGAATGGTTGCTCCTTGTTTCATAAATTCTTTTAGAGGGAGGAAAAACCCTAATGCATATGTATAAACAATGAATATAGAAACATAAGCACTTAATGCTTGAAGTACAGTTGCCAAATATAATAAGCATCCAAGTGGCTCATTGATAAAATAATGCAAGGAGAGTTGTTATTGATTATCTAAAAGCCTTTCAGCATTCAGAGAAAGAGCTTCCTAACTTTGGTGATCCAAGAAACTGCACACATTATAATTCTGCACTTATCTGTAGAATTAATTGAATTACATTTGTCTACAAAACATTGTTCTCCCAACTTAAAAAAGTGTTTTCAGAATAGCACATCTTTATACAATAAAAAAAAAACTTTTGAAATAAATCTAGACTTTATTAATATGGTGGGTGACAATAGAGACATTTAACAACATCTGTGAGCCAACAAACAAGTTCAGAGAGCACCAAGTCCTCCATATGACTGAAGGTTTGGCCATGGCCATGCTGCTACCAATAAGGGTTTGTTTCACAATCTCAAAAACCTATAGCCATGATGGCTAACATCTGGCACGTGTGCCAGAGCTGGCATGCAGAGCCCTCTCTCTGGGCATGTGAGCTGTCACCCCAGTTCAGTTCCTCTGCGCATGAGCGTGCACCTCCCGCTGGCCAGCTGTTCTTCGGTCTCTGCCACGCATGCATGGGGGGGCAGAGGCATGTGGGGGCATGCATGTCGGGGGGGCGGGGTGCATCTGGGATGTGTGCACATGCACAGGGGGTACTTACATGGGCGCATGTGTGGGGGGTGCATGTGTGAGGCCCACATGTGCATGCGGGAGGGCAGGGCACATGTGCGGGAGCCACATACGCATTGCATTTTGGGGGTTCGGGCGCACACGCATGCTTTGGGCACTCAGGCCGGAAAAGGTTAGCCGTCATTGACCTATAGTCTTGTCATGATTAATTTTTTGATCTTGGAATGCTGAATGAAGATATATGCAGCTGTCATTTAAGAATATTTGAATATAATGGGATAAGCCATTGAGGATTGAAATACAGTTGATTGTGATTATTTCCTACTGATTCTTGAAATTAATTTAATTCTGGTTCTCTGATAACATGGTATGGTAATACTTTTGTAAATGAAGTTTCAATCATCCAGGCCAAAAATATCTTAAAAGCTTAAATCATGGGAACTGGACCAAAGTTTATTAAAACTGAGACATTTTGTTACTCATCCAAGTAACTTCTTCAGTCAAAATGAAAGTCTGGATGGGCAAGAGTTGGTTCTTTCCCAACAACTATCTGACTCTCTGCCTACCAAAATTTTCATTTTACCTGAAGAAATTACTTGGATGAGTAACAAAACATCTCAGTTTTAATAAACTTTGGTCCAATTCCCATGATTTAACCTTTTAAGATAATATTTTAGTGTTTTGGTTTTAACTATCAATCTAGGTTGTTTATGATTGTTTCATGATGTTGCTTTTATGATTTTTGCTCATAATTAGAAAATTTTTGTAAGCTAAACTGATTTATTTAGTGTATGGCAAAAAAAGGTTCAAAAGCACATTGCACATTCTCAACTACTTACTCTGTTTACAAATTCAAAGGTAGACTATATATAGTAATAGTTGATGGAGTTGTATACAGAAAGTCTCTGGGGTTTCCCTGATATACACTCAGAGGACACTGTTCCACAATATGTTGCACTGTCTGCTTTGGAGCACCACAGCTTCATTTTAAAGAGGAGAGCTTCCCCATTTATGGAGAAGGCTAGTGTACCTGCCATGTTGAGTCCTAACCCTATTGAGGATCATGGGGTAAAATGAAATGTTTTGGTTCAGTTGTAAAGCAGGGAATGTTGTGACACTTTGGAGGAGCAGAAGAGGACCATTCTTGTGTCCAGGCCTGAAGAAGATTGAAGTTGTTATTCAATAAGTTTCTGGCATGTCCTAATAGGTAAATGCCTGGAGCAAAGCCTGCTGTTTATAGCATCAGTGATATCTGCATTGATTGCAGGTGAATATCACTAATTATTTTCTTATACTCTCATAGTAGACCATTTTCCTTTTGTAGATGAGATGGCTCAAAGCCGGTGATCAAAAAGTTAGATCTTATTGTGTCTGATCTGTTGCACATAGTGTGATTCAGCTAGGTGTCGATCAATTGAGCAAAAATGCTCTGCTGATGAAAAGATGAGTCCAAGAACTGAAGATTGCAAGATAGAAGCTGAGGAACCCCAGGTAGAATCACACAGCTTTTGCAGGATGTTATTTCTTGTTCACAGTTTGGCTGCAGGGTTCAGGTGTTCTCTGAAGGACAATGTTCTGTTGAGAGTAACCCTTAGTATTATGGGTATTTGTTACGAGTAAGAAGAGTATTCTCACACTGTACACTTAGTTCATGGTGAGCCATCTTGCTGTTGAGGTGGAAGCATGTTACTACAGTCTTACTTCAGTTTGCAAAAACTGACTCCATTTGCAAAAATACTGTCCTAAGATAGCTAGGTCAGCTGTCTGTGTTTCTTCAGTAAATTCCATGGACTTGCTCTGTGTGGCTAATGCCCAATCATCTGCATGCCCAAATTTTCTGGAATGAGTTTCAGGTTAAATCGACTATATATAAATTGAACAAGAGCGGTGCTAATATTAATCCTTAGGGTAGGCTGTTGTTGAGTGTCTTCTCATTACTAATATTGTTTCCCATAATTACACAGAACTTCCTATTGGTGAACATGCTATATATGAACCAAGTGATTTTCTTGTAGGCTATTACTTGAAAGAGTTTATAGACACCTAGGCTCCAAAAAGTATTGGGTGCTGCAGTTAGGTTCACAAAAGCAAAGAGGTTTTAAGTTCTTTTTGAAATCGTTCTTCTATGTATGTAATTAATGAGAGAACCTGATCCGTACGACTATGGTTAGGGCAGAAGCCTGCTTGCTCAACAAACACATTTTCAAGCAGGACTGGAATAATCCTATTGTAGAGTAGTCTTTCCAGTAATTTATATACCATACTCAAAAGAGCAACTGGTCAGGAGCTCTAAGATTTGATGTTGGGTTTACCTATCTTAAGGATAGAAATGATCTTCATCCATTTCATGAGCCAAGGGATGGACTGTATCTGCAAAATATAAGAATAAAATTGTGCTAGTCATGTTTCTGCATGTTTCCCAGTATATGGTAAGAAGTCTGGCTACACTGAATTGTGCTTTAGGACTAGGCTGGGATACATCAGTAAATAAAGGAACAGCTCTTGTATATTTTTCTTGCTTGCCAAACTGACATAAAGTTGGGGAAAAGACAAGATATATTTTTTTCTGTTTCACCCAGGGATGAAATCCATCAGGTTCTGACAGGTTCTGGAGAACTGGTAGCGGAAATTTTGAGCAGTTCGGAGAACCGGCAAATACCACCTCTGGCTGGCTCGAGTGGGGTGGGAATGGAGATTTTGCAATATCCTTCCCCCAAGAGTGGGGAGGGAATGGGGATTTTGCAGTATCCTTCCTTTGGAGTGGGGTAGGAATGGAGATTTTGCAGTATCCTTCCCCTGCCATGACCACCAAGCCAGACCACGCCATGCCCACACCCACCAAGCCACGCTCACAGAACCAGTAGTAAAAAAATTGGATTTCACCACTGCTTTCACCCAACAGTATATTCAGAGGTAATTTTATACAAAGAACAGAATTCTAACTCATGTATGTTCAGGATACAGTGTTGTGCACAGAGCAAATGCCTCAAAAGTGAACTGGTACAGAGAACATGAAGATAGAGTAGTTAGTAGAGTATTAAGTCTAGTAGCTTTCTTGGAAAAAAAATAGATGTTGCATCTACACTCCTTGGGGAATATCCCCAATTGTACTAAGATCCATTACCTGCTTATACGGACTCATTATCTATTCTTTGCTATTTGCCTTCTCTTACTGGAAATTTTGCTTTGGCTGTTGCCAAAGGGCAGGGCATTGCAAACGACATAGCTCTATAAACAAATAGCCTCTTCTTTCAACTATCAGATGGCGATAACCCTTGATGCGTATAGTCGCTCGTCATATGCATGCATTACAGCACTTGAGAAAAATCAATATTTCTTCTGCACAATGTATTAGCATCTGACAGACAGTTGTTTTAAATCACAGTTGGTTGCAATCTCTATCCAGGTTCCTTGGATATTGTAAAAATAACCCCAGCTATAAAATGAGGATCTCTTTAGCTATGAAACAGAAGTAAGGTACAGGCTTTTGGTCGGTCAAAGAAGACTCTCTACTTGAGTTCCATAGATGTTTTCTCTCTGCTCATGAAGCCTTCCGTTTGGTCTTGATGCGAAGTTTTGCAAAGATGACGTTAAGAACATCTCCTTCGCAGCCAAAGGAAAGGACTTGCTGTCAGGTATTCTGGGCTATCTTTCCCCATGCTTGCTTCATTTGTTCATTGGTGGTCTATGGTCTTCTGGGAGCTCTCATGTTTTCTCACGTGGAAGGCTGCAGAGAGAGCCATGAAGGTGAAGCATACAGGAGCTTTATGCTGAAACTTTGGAATCTTTCAAAAGATTTGTCAGGTAAGAATTTGCAATGTTAGCAGAGGAGGCAACCAAGTTAATTGCACTAAATGTGTCCTCATTCTCTTCTTGTTTTGAATATATGAATACATTTGGGAATCTGAGTTTCTGTAACATTATATTTTTCTTGCTTAAGTTGAAAGGATTTCTTAGTTCTGCAGGCAGATTTATTCTCTGATTCTCTGCCCTGCCTCCCCAATATCATTCCTATGCTTTTCATGAATTGTGGAACATAGTTAGGAATAGGAACGGGAATGTGAAAAATAGCTATAAAACAAAGCATGACTTAGAAATTTACTCTAACATAGATTGTGCTTAGCATTTACAAAAAGTAGATCATAAATGTTTTAATCCTAAAGTATTCCTTAAACCTCCACTGGTCCCTGGGGATAATGGAACCACTTCAGCATGCACATTTGTTTAGAGATTGAATCTAACATAAGTGTAATCATTGTTGAAAGAGATAGTCTAAGAAAAATGAACATGCCAAGAATGTTTTCAAGATTGATTTACTTTTTAAACGTTCAGTAACAATATTTTTGTATGCTTTTTGTTAGTAGTGCTAAATGAATCTGGGTTTTTTCCTTGACATTCCTTCAACATTTTCTCAATATCACCAGCTATTATTCTGAGAAAGAAGTTAATCTGTAAAGCAGATTAAAGTTTTCTTGTTAATACCAGAGGCTAATTCTGTAGCATATATAACCAAATGAACTGTGCATTTCTCTTAACATTGAGTATAGAGAGTAGCCATATTCAAAAACTAAAGAGGAAAGCTGCAAAATCAGAGGGAGTTGTTTCCTGTCAATGGAAGACTTATGTGAGTTTAAATAAGCCACCTCCCATGTTTCATTGCCACAACATGTCATATTCTATGGATGTAACACAGCAGTAGTCTGTAGTCTTTAATTTTCCACTTACTAATCACAGCATCTCGCTTACTTATTAACAGATAATGAGACCAACAATGAGATATTTACAAACAGGACACGTGATCTGATCAACGAAATTGACTTTTCATGGTTTACTGATCCCTCACAGAACTGGTCCTTTCTTGGCTCTCTCTTTTTCTGCTGCACTGTCTTCACCACAGTAGGTCAGTATGATTTGTGCGAAGTATTTTGCAATAAAAGTACTTGGACTAACCAAAGGTAAAGCAGAAAAAGCATCAATGAAATTCAGAGCCCTTTAAAGTCAGCACATGTGATCCAAGGCCCCAGATTATTTAAATAACACCAGTTACTTAGACCTCTACAACTGTCTTTCACTTCACAGTTATATGGAAGTAACTCCTGCTAAATACAGTGGGATTTACTTTTGAGTAAATCTGTACTGTAATTACGGCAGTAACAAAGACCTTCTAGAAAATGTCATCAGTGGACATGAAGCTTCATCAATTTAATAACCCATTCAAAAATGGGCTAAAGTTATCAGGAGTTTTACTGATGATGCCAAAATCCCAAATCATGTGAAAATATTTTGCCCAAATAGTGCACTCTATGCATAAAAGGACAAGCATGCATGTGCTAGACCCATTGGCAGACCCATTGCCAATGTGTTCATATTGCTGAACATATTGGCAATGGGTCTGCCAATGGGCCTAGCACATATGTGCTTGTCCTTTTATTCATATTATGCAACCACTTGCATTTCCTTGAAGATGTAAAGAATTGCATTTATGATTGGGAGCCTCAATAAACAAGGTTAGGTTCTCCAAGTAAACCTAAGTATAATCCTTCTGAAGACCTAAGTTTTCAATACAAGTCATTCAAGGACATAAACTCTCTCGCTTATACAGGCTTTCCTGTTTTGCATTGCATATTTGTACCCTCTCTTCAAATACTGTATGTCTTGGGGATCCTGACAACAGTCATAATAACTAACTGTTGGGTTACAACAGTTAGTAACAACTAACACAGATGACTGTTTCCTGGTACAATAGATAAAAAGATACTGTAGATTTGTTCCATTTCTACCACCCTGCTGCCCTGCTTCTTTGTGATTCAGAATGTATTAATTTCCCCCTCCCCCAATTTTGGTTAGGTCTGTTCACACAGGTAGTCCTTGACTTACAACCTTTTGTTTAGTGACTGAAGTTACAACGGCAGTGAAAAAAAGCATGACCATTTTTTTTAGTTATAACCATTTTTCACACTTATGACTGTTGCAGCATTCCCCATGGTCATGTGATCAAAATTCAGACCCTTGGCAACTGGCATATATTTATGATGGTTTCAGTGTCCCAGTGTCAGGTGAATACTTTTGACACCTTCTAACAAGCAAAGTCAATGAGGAAAGCAGATTCACTTAATAATTGTGTTACTAACTTAACAACTGCAGCAATTCATTTAACAACTGTGGTAAGAAAGGTCACAAAATGGGACAAAACTCATTTAACTGCTGTCTTGCTTAGCAATGGAAATTTTGGGTTCAATTGAGGTTGTAAGTTGAGGACTGCCTATATTTCATATTATGTACTTGCTTATATAAAAAGAACTCATCAGATAAAATTAGGACAGACTAATATGGATATAAGAATGAGTTTCCTTACCAACAGTTATAGTATATATGTTATGTCTTAGTTCCAACATCATTGTTAAGTTGATAATTTTCCAGATGTTTATTACCTTCACTTGTTCATAGTATGGTTTTCCTAAGTTCATCACACAATTTGAGAATAAAAATTGTAAATATTTTTTCAAATTCCTCAGTAAAATTGGAATCAACTACTGTGATTAAATAAAAATATGGTATGTCTTTGGCACCTATATTGCTACTCACTTTGCTATCCAAATGTTTAACAATTGCTGGCCAACACCAAGGCTTCTGGTCTGCCTTCTTTATTTTTAATTGCAATAATAAAATAAAAACAATAATTTATGGTAGTTTGTGGTGAGTGCGATCTAATGTGATCTAAATCTATAATGTGAAACTTCGCAAGTAAATCCTGTGAAATTTAATAGGGTTGACTCCTGATGTTGTACTATCCTTCAATTAGAATGCATAGCCAGTTAGATGTTGCCAAATTACAACTATATTTCATCACTTCACTCAGCCATGCTTATTGAAGTTACTAGAGATACTAAAAGCTGCACCTCAACAAGATATAAAGGTAAAGGTAAACGTTTCCCATCTAGTTGTATCCAACTCTATGACTGGACATCTCTTTTTCTTAGCTGAGGGAGCCAGTGTTGTCTGAAGACCCTTCCATGGTCATTTGGCAAGCATGACTATATGCCGAAGGCACATGAAACACTGTTACCTTCCCACTGAAGTGGTACCTGTTTATCTACTTGCACTTGCATGCTTTCAAAGTACTAAGCCACAGGAGCTGGGATAGGTAATGGGAACTCACCCCATTGCACAGTGCTAAGGTTTTGAACTCCAGCTGTCAGCTTTCCAGCTGACAAGTCCAGTGTCTTAACCACTGAGCTATTGTGCCCCTCCAACAACATAAAGAAATGAGCAATTCTAGCCTGCTTGAGACTGGCCTAAGCTCCCCATTTGTAGACCCTGTGGAACAAATTTTTTAGAGCCACTTTTCATTTCTAGCTGGGGGTGCTGGATTTAAAAGTAAAAATAGATGTCCTAAGACTTAGATATGCTAAGATCACCAACTACATCCCTAAAAACTCAAAGAAATTAAGTTAATTTTCCAGTTGGGAGGGCAAACCAGAAAAATGGGTACCTTGTTCTTAAAATGTCAAAAACGAAATACAAAGAACAGGATGAAGATTTCAGTTTCATTCAGTCTCCTAATGTCATAATATTCCTAGCATATGCTCTGTGGACAATTAAGGAACTAGACATAATTTTATTAGTATATTTCTGCCAGAGTCAAAGAGGAGGATTATAGAAATAAATTGCTCTTAAACAAAAATGTTACTCACCAAATGAAAGCAAAGATGTTACTCTTCACCAAGCAACATTGCCAGCATTCATGGAAATATCAGTAGCAATCCCATCAAGCAAATAAAGATGTTTAAATATTTAGGTAGCTATTTCCGGTCATCTACTTCTTGGCTACAGTAAACTCAAGAGATTACAAGCTAAATTCACAAAGTTATCAGTGCAGTCATTACATCTGTCAGTTCCAATAGGAACATATAGCATTCTGCATCCATTTTAAAGTTTCGTACTAAGATGTTAAACCTATTGTTGTTTAGTGCCTAATTCTATGCCTATTCTGATCATTCACATTTTAAACCAGTCCAAATTCATTAGGACCTTATTGTGAGTCCTGCTCAACTCCAAATGTGCTTCTTTGGCTAGAACATGGATAGCCTTTCAGAGCAGTCTGAAGGAGAACAATTTAGGGCACATTGCTGAGTCAGCTTACTTTGGCTGATATGCTTCCTTCCACTGGAGGAAAAGAACAACTAATGATCTGTTCTCCTGTGGCTTTTTAGCCTCATTCCTCTTGTCCTTTGGAATAGACAAGTCTTACAAGTAAAGAAATAGAAAATTCTTGTTCTAGATGTACAGAATTGCAGATCCAAAATCATATTTCCCAAGTATCTGTATAGAATTACTTGCGCCTCATATAGGAAAAATCCCCATCATGTTAGTAATATTTATCTTTAAAATATGGGGAAGAGAGTCTAGACTAGAACATTTCTGTTCCAATTCTACAATTGAATCAATAGGCCAGTTTTAACTTCACTTCTCCATCTATGCAGTGCTCATAACCTTACTTCTTACTGATTGACCATGCTGATCCAAAACTAAAGTTATTTTGCTTTTTATTTATTGACTTTTCCATTAAATTTTCCAAAATTGAGCAGTAAAATTTTGTTCAATTGCTACTGTTATGAGAAGGCTTTGTGTTTGATTATTAGGATGATTAAGAGCACCATAGATGATTAGATAGATGATAGATTGATAGAGAGATCTTCTATTTTCTCTATATATTTTCTCTATATATTTTCTATCTTGTATATATTCTATTTTAATTATATTTTCATAACTAACTGTTAGAATATTATCACTAACATTCTGTAAACAATTTCTTCTGCACCTATATAGAAATAAGTTTTTTAGGTTTTAGCTTAACTTTTTAGTTAAATTGATTTAAGAATCAAATTTACAAACTGTACATGTATTCTTATACAAATATAATAATAGCGATTTCTCCAATAGTTTGTAGCTGACAGTATCATATTGGTATTCGGTATTTTTTAAAAGAGATTTGCATGTAATATGAACAACCTTTTGACATTTTTTCCCATTTGCTTTTCATTGCGAATTCAATATGTCACTGAATTTTAATATTTTTGCTGTTTACATACTTCAGCGATCTCTTGCTTGAGATTATGTCAATATTTTGTAATTATTGTTTACAGCAATACAGAAAAAAAATCATTAAATGTTGATACATAATCACGTAGAAATCCATGCAATAAAGCATTTGGAGTTAATGGTAAATTACATCTCTTCTTTGCATTGATTTTTCTTACAATTCTCTTCCAAAATATATGAACAACAGGATGCGGTTCCTGCACTGAAAATAATCTTTAGTCTGCAACATCCAACTGTTAAAATTGTCATTATTATATATTATATTCAACTTTAGAAGCCAAATAAAAACAGCATGAAATTTTAACAATTATTACTCAGGGTTGAGACTATTTGATCTGCCTCATTCCATGCCAAAGAGACATTTTAATGGACATAGTTAGGACTGTTATTGTTAGTATTCTTTCATGTATTCTTTTATTTTCATTCCCTTCTCCACCTATGTATATATAATAACTAAAATAAAACACATACACACATTAAGTAATAACCAAACTACTTTTTCAATAAAGCTATCTTTAGCTATAGAAATGTTTTTATATTGATGTTGCTTTCCTAAATTATGAGGTTGCTTGGTGAATCTGTTTCATCGTGTCCACTAAATCTGTACAGACTATTAAATATTAAGTGCATTTGGAACAAGGGAAGAAGCTGCCTTTTATCTGGGCAAACTAGCTAGCTGTCTAGTTCCGTTGCATATTTTGTCTGGCAACAGTTCTTTAGGATTTCATTTAATAATAGAAATCTGTTTGAAAATCATGACATATTTCAAGACTTTTGTTCAATACAATAAACCTAATTAGTTAAGTATGACTTTCAGCCTTAAAGGTTTCCCTATGCACTGCTGGTCATTTATCCCTTGACTTAAGTCAGGGGTGTCAAACTTGTGGTGTCACAGCATTGTTGTATTGGGACTTTTTCCCCTTCACTAAACCTGGCCTGGGCATGGCCAGCGCATGACAAACCAGCCTGTGGGCGTTGAGTTTGACAGCCCTGACTTAAGTGATTAAAAATAATGCTAAAAGACTTATGCTTGAAAAAACTTTGACCTTGCACTTCAGTCCGGACACTCAGTTCTGACCACAGTGAAGATACTGGATCAGACCTCTGCCCATCTAGTCCAGCAGTCTGTTCTCAGAGTGGCTGAAACTGTACAAGGAAGCCCACTTCTCGCTCAGCAGATGGCCTTCATAGGAAGCCACACTGCCCTGAAAGCTAATTGCCATTGATCCATGAACCTGAAGCTGCTTGGGGACAAGTAGCTCTGGATTAGTTTAGCAGTCAAAGTCAATGATCATAATAGGATGCAAAGTCACTGTACGTGTTCTGAGTTAACTAGGAGAAGCCAGCACTTTTGAAAATAGAGGAACAATATTCTTTCTCACAATGGCTGATACTCTTAGACACAAATCGTTAGTATTTGAGTAGATGCTTTGTTCAAATTTTTAGGCGAACACCAGCTGGGTTAAGTCCTTCTGATGACTATGATTAAAGGACAAAAAAAGGGACAAAAAGACACTTAAAGCAATTAGCTATTCTCTCTAGCCTGAAAATCAGTCTTGCTCAGCACTGCTTACAGGTGTGAGCTTAACAGGACATATAAATCACCTTGGCTGCAAAATTGAGAAAGTGAAAGGTATGTGTGTGCCATTATAAGGGTTCCCATATTGAGTGCTAAATTTCACACATTGCTTGGATTTTGCATTCTATGTAACACAGCCCTACATAGGATCCTCCATCAGTTTTAGGTGGCAGTTGTGATGAAGAAGACTATTTTGACAGAATTGGGGAAACTTCTGTATCCAGCTTCCTAGCAATTTGGGATAAGGAAATACATTTTGTGCAAGGTTGAACTATAAAGTTAAGCCCCACTGGGTAATCACAATCTGCTTCTTAATATTTTTTCAGAGAACATATAAACATGTAACTAAACAGGTGAAGACACAGACAGAGAAACGCCATGTTGAAATATGGAATGTCATGGTGAATAAATGGCTACTTTTAGCATGCTTCTAAATATTAATCATTTTGGCACATTTTTTTTCTCTAAGGAAGAGTTTTCTGCAGATAAGTATTACTTCTTGACTGATATAAAATAAATCCTGAGGAAGTGATATACCGTAATAGGAGGACCTCTACTGATGATCCAGTGACTGGGCAGATTACTATGAAAGGAGATAAAACTCCCCGTAAACTGTGGAAATATTCCAATATTCTAAAACAAAAACATTGTAACAGAGCTAAATAACTGGTATAAAAACTGGCACCTTCAAAATCAGCCAGGGCTAACAAAAGAAAGCTTTTAAGTAGCTAAAACCTACATTCCATATTGCAAATGTGTATATTTAACAATATTTCTCAAAATCTTCCAATGAAAATATTTACAGGAACAAGCTGGAGGCCTTTGCAGGCCTTAACAGTACATGATATGTCAGTGTTTTGCAATGAAAACTCTGATCTGCACAGCTCTTTTTGAAAAAAAACAAAAGGTATCAAAATGGTCTAATATCTGTAATGGAAAGACAAGGAAGAAGGAGAATTTTATTATTTGCCTTCATATTTTAAATGCAGGCAATAGGTTCATTTTAAAAAAAAGATATACGCATATTTTATTTATTTAAAACAAAGATGTATTTTCAGAAAAGATATCAATAAGCAGACAAAGAAAACTAGTGAAGTTATACAATTAATGCTCCAATATAACATTAATAAAAAAAACCTGAACCACTCCCCAAAACAACTATTATATGCATATGCATTAGTTTTGTTCAAATTGAAATGCCATAAAAAACAAATAATATTTAAACAGTTTTCTCTGGTTTTCTTTGGTTTCAGGTTATGGTCATATTTATCCTGTGACGAGACTTGGGAAATACCTGTGCATGGTGTATGCATTGTTTGGTATCCCTCTCATGTTCCTGGTCCTCACCGACATGGGTGACATCCTAGCAACTATATTATCCACCTCTTACAATCGAGCTCGGAAACTACAATCAGAAGTATTAGCCAGGCTTTCTTTTAGATCTTGCTGTAAAAAAAGGACTGATTCAAAGGGAGGCTCGGCTTCGCTTGGACCAGCCAAAATCGTCCTTCTTGAGCCTTTAAATATTAAGGATGCTTTGAAAAATAATTCTTCCTTTAAAAAAAAGCCTGGGCAAAATCAAAATGTTGAAATTTTTGAAAGGCTTATCATCAGAGAAAATGCTCTTCTTGCACCTCCAAAACTGACCAGATTTGAACGATGGAATTCATGTCCTGAATTGGACAAAGGGGCAATGGTGAATCACGTGATCAGCAACATTAATAATATAGGGAAAGAAGTAGAAAAGCTGAATGTACCCTTTTCACTGATGACTTTTATTGTTTTTGCATACATCTCCTGTGCTGCCGCTGTTCTTCCACACTGGGAAAGAGCTTTAAATTTTGAGGAAGCTTTCTATTTTTGCTTTATCACCTTAACAACCATTGGCTTTGGTGATATCAAACTGCAACATCCCAACTTTTTCTTATTTCTCTCAGTTTATATTATAGTCGGCATGGAAATTGTCATAATTGCTTTCAAGCTGGGACAAGACAGGATCCTTGGTCTGTACAAGAAGCTGCTTTTCTGCATTGGTCAAAAAAATGTCTCAGACAAAACAACATGAAGAACATCCATCTAGCCCAAAGAAGGCATGCAATATCACTTCTTGAATGAGAGCCATAGACAGTGGATTCTATAAAGGGAATGGATGCTTGCCTTTTTCCAATGGAGAATCAACAAGGGATGAGACAGATATCCTCCTCACCATCACTGGGAATCTGCTGTAAACTAAGTGAACTACTACATAGAGCAGCTAAATGTACTTGGTTTGAAAATAATTTCCCCCTTTTAGGATATGAAAATGATAGAATAACAGTGTGAACTGGATACATCTACTCAAGCGTAAGACTCATTGACTTCAACAATGTTTGCTGGAAAGTAAGTCCTATTGAGTTGAACAGATTTGTTCTGAATAGGCATGCATGGGATTGCCACTAAAATTGGAAAATTAATGTTGAGAAAACCTGAAAGAGCACCTGTTTCTATTATTAATAGTGCACCTGGAAGCACGTATTAGAAAGGTCTCCTTCGCATCCTTAATTGAGGGAAATGCAGCTTCTTTCTGTCAAAGATTGTAATCATACATCAACAATTATTTTAAGAAAATAACATGAGGTAGAATTCTCGGTTGTAATTTTAAAGAGATAATTGATCATGCATTGCATGAATCTACAAATACATTTAAAACATCTGTTCTATCAATACTTTGGCCCTTTGCTCACTTCATCCATTCATAGCATCTCTTATGACAAGGTTGGAATTGAGATAAAAATCCTTGTCAGGCAATCATTTATGAACATACAAAAGTCTATGCCTTCTCCTGGGATAGCTCTACTTATCTGATCACTCCCCACTTCACAGCAATGCTCCCAAGTCAATTTTCCAGGACTGTTTGAACAATGAACAAGCCGGTTATCATTTTCTTCTCCCAGAAGATAGTGGGTCCAGGTACTGATCAACCATGGATTATCAGAACCTGGAAAGTCCACTACAAAGTGGATTAACCATCAAAAAGAGAGGTTTTGTTCCACTAGTCAATTGGGGTCTTAAGAAGTCTAGCAATGTTAAGTGCTTGCTGCTGAGTCAAACTTTAGAACCCATAGGCCTTTCTGAAGAGATTCCAGCAACTAAATTGGATTTTTTTCAGAAAGTAACTAAAGAAACTAGGGAAGGAGAGCCTTTTGGATCACGACCACAGCTATGAGATTAAGGTCTGTAGAGATTCTCAGTCATCCAGGTCATGGTTGTCCCAAAGGTGCTTTTTCAGGAGGCAACTGGACTTTCTTGTTTTTTATTTTGAAGACATTTCGCTTCTTATCCAAGAAGCTTCTCCAGTTCTGATACGATAGTGGGGAATGGAAGGATTTATATTCCTTTCAGATAGTTGGTCATTTGCATCCTTTTAGGGGATTGTTGAAGCACTTGGAGGTTATCTGTGTCCTCAGGGTCACCTAAGTAATAATGCTCCTGGTTCTTTTTCTCTGGAAATGACATGAAGGGATTTCTGTTTGGACTGGGGTGATCTGGATTTTATAACTAGATTCAGCAGCAAGCACAGCAAAGCCAAAGAATCACTTTCCTAGACATCCTAAGCCCCCAATTGACTGTGGCAGAAGCTCTTCAAGACTTTCCTAGCACCTGAATCTAAGCATATTACAGTTATATATAATAACTTTAATAGGCATTTTACTACATGGAGATGGGAAACTAGCTTCGAGGCTCAAGTGATGATTGGGGGATTCATCCTGGATTTATTAGGATTTGTTTTTTTTCTTTAAACAATATTTATGAAAGACCAACTACTAGTGCCATCTTTATTTTCAAGGATGGACCCCATGGGTTACCAGTGGCATTTTAGAAAAAATGCTTTCTGAGACAATAAGAAATATTTGAGCGTTTTATTCTGGCCCATGTACATTTTACCATCTAGAGGGAAAAGGTTAATTGGGAAGTAGCAGAAGTAGAGAGCAGCTTGTAAGATGGGAGAAGATGAAGATGTACGACTTGTGTATTTAAAGCCTATTATTTGTAAAGTTTATGGACAATGAAGTTATCCTGCCCTCTTCAGGCTAAAGTTAATGGTTTGCTGGAAGCACTGCTTGTATTACAAAAGCATTTTCTTATAAGAAGGGGCGTCTTCTTATAACCCCTTGTCCTCTACATAACCAAATGCCAAAAGAAAATTTAAATCAATAAAAAATCCTAGTCACCAGGGATACAGAAAATATAGCAGCAATAAATGCGTATCTTGTGAAGAATGTCAGAGTTTGAATTTTCAGGGAATTCACTTTCCCCCCTTATCTAGCAAGCAAATATAAATGCTATGTCAAAATGAAGTTTGATTCCAGTTTTCAGAGTTGATCCCTGCAGAAGCAGATCAACTGCATTACAGTATACTACATCTTATAACGTGATAGGATACTGCATTATTAAAATTTTATTCCTGATTGAGTTATTACTCCAGTAATTTTTAAACTTGCCTGAATTTAACATTTGGTACACATATATAAAGTCATGTTTTGCTATTGGGAAACCTTTACAGAGAAAGGAATTTTAGCTATATTTGCCACCTTGGATTTTTAAAATAAAAAAATAATAAAGGCAGGATATAAATAAATAATCTTGATCAGCAAGAGAAGACAGGAAATGGGAGAATACAGAGAGGTATCCATGTATAACCTTTGATTGTTTGAGTTAAAAATCATTATGGATGAATATGAATAAGGATAAAGGCACAGGCAATAAGATATTTTGTTTGAAAACAATAAAAAGGAAAGAAATGTTGCTATTTTTGCATGTTGCCCATGGGCATGCTGTAGCTCCCTTAATCATGGTTAATTGCTAGAAACCAATTGATAATGGCTTGTATTTTAGTCCAGATTTTAAATAATACCAATAAAGAATTATGTGTAATGCATCATTTGTGGTATTGAATCTTTAGTCTCATGCAGCATTTTTTATTCTTATTTCTTTATGACTGTCATATTTGGGCTACAGAAATTCAAAGGTCCAATAAACAGCAGCACAAAATGAGAATTGTGATCCTCCAGGAATCTTTGCTTCTAGGAGATCTAACAATCGGGATAATTGGATGACGCATTCCCAGGAGATGGCCTTAGAACATAAAAAGGATGGGTAGCTCATTTGGAAGGGTGCTGTCCTGGAGAGAGGAGAATGACCTCAGTAACATGTTTCCCAAGGATTGATGTTTTGTGACTGGCAACATCCACCATGACCACCTGTAAATAGACAAGCATCTATGACAGTCATTTTAATCCTAATAATTAGAGTGTGATATGTGTCTGCATTAAAAATAAAAAAGCTACTGTACTATATCATTTCATATGTAGCTGCAGAACTATAGTTGCAAGTACAATAGAACAATTTTACCTTTGCATTCTAAACATTTCATTAAAAATATCTGAGAAATAAATATTAGGGGAAAAAAACTACTTTGTTTGTTTTAATAAAACGCAGTAGGTCACTATTAAACCTCCCTTTCTGTCATGTAAACCTATAATAAGATGTTTCCGGGGAGGGCCTCTCTGAGCTGAAATACTTACACAAAAGAGAGCATTGGAAACTATTCTGGAGAAATTCCAATCATGCTTGTTACAATGCATAGGGCACAGGTGGTGAGGCAAATGAATCTGCTGGTTTAGCAGACTACCAGACACCACTTAACACAACTTCTCATCTTCAGTGGAACTCTTTTTCAGATGAACAGATCTATAGAGTTTGTATTAATTAGTGTTATCAGGTTTGAGTTGTGAAATCTGCATGACCATTAGATTCACTAAAGAACTAGAGTTTTCTGTATCTCTCTGCTATAGTGTGGACATTTGCAACCCAGATGTAGTAGCTTTATTGAGCACACACAAAGACCTCTCCCACATGCTTGTTGGAAATGTGTTTACTATTGCATTGCATACCACACATGCCTTTTAAACTGAGAATGCAACAGCCACAGTTTTGTAGACCATGGCATTTTGAAGACTGTAAGATATCTGATCAGAATAAATAGAAGGTAAATTTGAGCATCCACCCCAGTGGTGGGTTGCCCCCGGTTCGCACCGGTTCTATAGAACCGGTAGTAAAACTGGCGGAGCCTCCGCCCACTGATCCTGATGTCATAAAAATGCTTCTGCGCATGTGCAGAAGCTTCTGCACTTGCGCATGCGCTTCCCCGTTGCGAACTGGTAGTAAAGGTAAGTAGAACCCATCCCTGATCCACCCTAGCACTTTTATTCTCACTGCATTCTATGTCAATTTTTTTTTCTCTCAGTAGTTTTTTCCCCCATTGAAGTCAGAAGCCCAGTAAATAGTAATGTGGACAGAATCTCAAAATACAAACAAACATTGGGATTATATTTAGAATTTGGACTGGAAACTCTGTTCTGAAGATAAAGTATTTATCTATCTAATTACTTTGAATAGGGAACTGTTGTTTGGATAGAGGGTTCTCCATTTGTGGGGCTTTCTTTCTCTAGAAACAACCTGTGAAGAAGGACTTTTCTGCAGTGATCTACACATAAAAGGCTTCAGCTCAGAAATAGGGAGGCTGAATATATTCCATTATCAAATCTGTGACATGGAAAGAAGCAAAGCACTCTTAAAAACAACTCTGTAATAAGGTCTTTTTTAAAAAAACCCACATTTGAAAAAATGGTACAATTGATCTTCTGCTCTGACAGAACTGCTTGACTTTTATACTGTGTTGTCTCTCTGTTGAAGTACAGAAAGGAAAACCTACTGACAAGGGAAACGAGTGTGAGTTGATTCAATTGATTACTTGTCCATGAGAAACTTTAAAAAAACAAATACGACTAAATATCCAGATGAGATGGTACTTGCTTGGAAGCTTGCCTTACTATTCATTTTCAATAATGTGTCAAGTACTTTAGAGATGAAATGAAAGGAAAGCCAAGAGTTTTGGCCAAATTTCACATTTGCTATGTTTTTCTGTCTCTTGTTCTTGCAAGAGCATAACATTTGATAAATTAAGTAATCACATTTAATTTTTGTTTAAAAAACCAACCCTTAAACAGCACTTATTTAAAATATCTAAATGTAT